TTTCCTATACTCATGAATGTAGCCCATTAAGGTGAACGATGTAAATCTTTATATTTTTTTTGTGTGTATTTCTGTACTATATTTCTCGTCTTTATAGCTTATTTTGTTTTTAGTTGGTTAAGTACATGATTTTGGTGGATACAATATTCAAGTTTCTTGTATCCGCTTGCTATTAGAGCACATGGTTGGTTACAAGACTTGAACTATGTATTTGGTTGAAGAAAAACACATGGTGAAATATGCAAGTTGTATGACTTGAACTATGTATTTGGTTGAAGAAAAACACATGGTGAAATATGCAAGTTGTATGACTTGAACTATGTATTTGGTTGAAGAAAAACACATGGTGAAATATGCAAGTTGAACTATGTATTTGGTTGAAGAAAAACACATGGTGAAATATGCAAGTTGTATGAGGTGGAAAGATATGACCGTGAGACTAATCTTTTTATGCAAGAAGGACAATAGGACTTATTTAACAAAAAAGAATAAATCATAAAACTATTTGATGGATGTTAGCACGACAAACATGCTTTTGCTATCAAAGTAGAGATTGTTAAAGATGTTGATAGGCAAAATCCCTGGGCCATAAAAATCTTACCATAAATAGCTTAACATTAGTGAAAGAAATAAAAAGCGCAACTAGATTAGAACTCTTAGTTATATGTATTTTGAGATATATGTGACATTTATAAGAAGTTTCTTATCTGATATGGGATTTCTAACCTATTATATATAGAAGGAATGAGAAATGAATATGGGTTCCCTATTTTATATCACCATATTGGAAATGCGGTTTCCGCTAGAGAGAGGCAAGGGCCTCCTACATAAATAGGCAAGGTCTCTATATAGAGAAAAGTGAGTTCCTGGAGAGAGAAATGCTATGACGCTACCTCCCACAAAATGAGTGATAATTTCTTATGAAGTGGTTTCTGTGGAGATTTTGGGTGTTATACCCTTTTTAATTAGAGAAGATTATGTTGCTTCTATAGTTCTATTTCAGGATAGTGGTTTAGTTGTAGGGTAGAGATGGGAATCGGCATGTGATATCAGTCTCAGTCTTGAGATTTAATCTAAAAATTTTGCTAGACTGGGTTTTATAGAGGGTTATATCAATATCTATAATGTAAGGGTGTGGTTTCTATAAAGTTGCAATCGTAAACAATCTAAGTAAGGCCACCTCCAAAATTTATCATAATATGTAATTTTGTTTTAAACTTTTTTTTGGATTATCTTAATCATATCTAATTAGAAAATTTTAAAATCCAAAAACAGTTAAAATCAAGTAGAACTATAAATATATGAAAATCTTGAAAATGGACGGTCTAAATACTATGTTGCAATATCACTATTCATGAGACTCAAAAGCTTCTTTTTTTTTCTTCTCTTTTTTTTTTTTTTTTTTTGTTTATATTCATATTCACACATCTCAATGTCGAGATGATCAAATAGAGGGTTCTTCAAACATTAAAACAACATTTTTGATAGATTTTTGAGGTGCATCTGTAATTCTACATTTTAAGGTTGCATGCAACCTTATATGAACTTTTTCGATAATGTAATTGTCTTTGATATGATAGTTTTCAATTTGCCATGCCCGTTAATATAGCCCTTTTAGAGTGCACTATATAAGTATTTGTGCTCTTATGATGTGACTATTTCTATCTTTTATTTCTCATATTTATATAAGGAAAAAGTTTATATAAAGATATAAGGATGCTACCTTATAATGTAAAATTATGGATGCCCCTCCAAAATCCATCGGAAAAGGTAGTTTTAATGTTGAAAAACCTTTTGATTGATCATCTCGACATTGAGATGTAGAACTATTATTAAGTCTAAAAAATAGTGCATTTTACAACATATTATCTACACCATCTATTTTCAAAATTTTCATATGTTTATAGATCTACTTGATTTTAATTAATTTTTAAATTTAAAATTTTATAATTAAATATAAAAATAGATTTTAAGATAATCCTAAGAACATTTTACATCAAAATTATATACTATGATAAAATTTGAAGGTGCACCTTACCGCTACACCTATGGATGCGTCCGTATGCCAACTGCACCCTTTATATAATAGTTTGTACTTGCCTTTTTCATTTTTAGTCAATTAATTCACAATCTTATTTTCGCATAGAATAGGTTTCTGGGTTCTTTGACAAAATGTTGGCGATTGTTAGAACCACTGTAGAGAGAGAGAGAGAGTTTTGGCTGCCCAAATTGCAGGATCACCAATTGCCATCTTATATCTCAAAGGGAAACTAAACAAAAGAGCAAACCTGAGATTTCAAAAATTTATAATACAGATGTCTATTGTATAAACAACCACACAATTGTTGGTTCTTGAAACAAAATTGATTAATTTATCCATATCTCTTTTAGGATCAATTGAGCTTGCCATCTCCCCAGTTCTCTCATGTATTGTCACTTTAATGTTAGGTTGAATTCCATTTGAAACTAAATTAGATTATCTCCTTGTCTCACTTTACTGTCACAATGTCATCAATTTTTCTCTTAAACTAAATTGTAGATCCAAGAATACAGAGGACTGTAATGAAGCCTTGTTTACTGATAGTTGCGGAGGACTTGCGGTAAAAGATGACATCATGGTATAAGAAGACCCAAAAATAATGAAGAATTTCGACCACAAAGTCACAAAAATAAGAGAGGAGTAATACAAATCCACCAGATCAAAGAAAGGTCAGGCCTTACCTTGATTATCGAGATAACAAAGGAAGCCATGTTGTCAAGGTAAACAAAATGAGGAAAAAGAAGTTTGTGCAGAGAAAATTGAAGAGGGACTTTATGTGAATGATTTGTATGAAGGAAAAAGAAGTTTGTGTACAGAAAACAAAAGTAAATATGAAACATTTAGGTACTTCAAAGAGTTCAACTTGTAGAGGATAATTTTAATATAAATAGTGAAAATTCAATACGAACAATCTGTGTCGAAAGAATTCAATGAATTCTTAGATAAAGGGGACCAAGGGGCGCTAGCATTAGTTTTTGACAACTCAACAAAATGATATTGCTAATAGGAAGATTTGATATAAGAACTTACCTAAGATGTATTTGGCTGAGGCATACAGTGTACATGATCAGTTACATGCCCTTAAGAGAGGGATTAGTGTATTATAGCAGCTCTCTGTAATAAAAAAATCCGATATGTTTCTAGATCAGCGCATATCGATGCACTGATCTAGAAAGCAGTGTACTAATGAAAGTCGAGATGTAAGGCTTGGTGAGCAACCACAATGGTATGATGCTTTACATCGAGTAGAAGTTGAAGAAGCCACTGAGGATCCAAAGCTCCATTGAAGCTGACTACTCCCACAGTTACAAGAGAAGGATTATTACCCATTCAAGCGCCCTAATTCACGAATACATTATCAAGAAAGGTAGATGTATCCAATTAAAAGGTTCGATGACTATTGTGCCTGCATTATTAAACGCTTAATCTAATATATATAATATATAATAGGTATGTCTAGAGTGAATAATTCATCAAAATACAAGTTAATGTTAAGATGAGTTGTGATGTGTGTATTTATTAAAAGAAACATTATTTTTGTTTAAAAGATGTTTTAATGTGTGACTTAATCATTAAATAAAGGTAAATTAAAAAATTTTATAAAAAATGCCAAAATTTTTATAAAATTACCTTTGTCATTTAGTAAAAATTTCAATTTTATCTCTTATAAAAATGATAAAAGTAGTCATTATTTTTAAGTGATATTTACACAAAAACCCTTTGTCCTTTAGTAAAAATTTCAACTTTATCTCTTATAAAAATGATAAAAATACTCATTATTTTTAAGTGATATTTACAAAAAAATCCTTACTTGATGAGCAAGACATGAGTAACATTTTTTTAAAAAAATACCCTATATTTAATAAATCCACTATTGATAGCTCACTCTAACATTAACCTTTTGTAATTTGAAAAGTTGTGAATGATATATTATTCCATATATAATTATAATTAATATTTTTATAAATGAACTATTATATAAATTGTAATCTTTAGAAAATCACAATAAAAATAAATTTATAAAAAAAAGAGAATATATGAGACTGAGCACGCGACTCACATATAGGAAGATAAATCTCTTCGATGAAATATGAATTAGGAGATTCCCTATTATCTAATGGAAAACTTAATTGATGAGAAATAGGGATGTTATTCGTTCCAAATAGTATGTACCTTTTAATATTGAAAATAATATGAGAAGATAAAGGCAAGGTTAGATATACTTTTTAAAATAGTTAGTATACTCCAGTGGGAGTAGAAAATCTTTTACTCCCGTGTGAGAGCAAGAAATCTTTTAGTAAAAAGATGAGCACGTATACCATGTATACTTAGCTGCTGGCATGCCACGCTGATAAAACCGTAGGGCAATGGGTCGGGTTCGGTTGGACCTAGACTCAGATGCCAATAATATTCAGGTTTAAAATTTAGACCCATATTTGGACCTGTCAGGTTTGGTCGAATCCACAGTCGCCACTATAAGCTTATTATTATTATTATTATTATTATTATTTTCTCTCTTTTTTTGTTCTACCATCGGATACCTTAATGAATATGATTTTATTTTTTTTCTAGCATGTTTAAAGACACATGATTACTATCATATACCTTATGACTACACTACTAGTATGGGTCGTGTCCAGCTAGACCCGGACTCAGACCCAAACCCAAATAGTATTGAGGTCCAAAATTTGAACACACACTCGGATCCAAAGTCGGGTCTACTTGTCGTGTTCCGGGTCGGGTCCATTGCCACCTCTTGACGAAAAAGGGCCGATTCTGCAATGGATCACGAAGATAATTGTCTGGTGTTGCAGATTTTTCGCACAAGTAAGTAATTATTGTGTGCTCTCGAGAGCGCGGTCTACGTGGCGAAAAACAATAAACCCCATACTCCCTCACATATTTTTAAATTACAAAAAGGTTCTTCAACTTTCGCAACTAAATTTGTTAGAAGGCGGTTGAACCGCACCCTTTTGCTGAAACTCTTTGAAGCTAATGTCCCTTACGCCGCTCTCTCTCTCTCTCTAAAACTCACACTCTCTCTCTAAAAGGGCATGGCTGAGACGTGCAATGAGGGATGGTCCTCATCCAACTCAAAGATAAATGCTTTTGAAGAAGACCCACCTTCAATTCCCCTCTTAAATTCTTGGCTGCAGGCTGGTTTCTCAATAGCCATGTCACAGATAATCAGAGAAGTCCCACAAAAACTATCAAATAAGAGAGGCGGAAGGCCTTTGAGGCAATCTAACTCTTGTTATGGATCCCCTGTTGAAAACTCTCAAAAAACCAATCACTCTGACTATGATGGTTCTTCTATTAATGGGTCTTCTGTAGTTGGGGAAGAGCTTGACTCCAGTGATCAGACCGAGCCCTTGAAAGATAAAGGCAACAATGAGGTACCAGGCCTAGAAGGGATTTTTAACAGGTTGAAGGAGCTTTCGGCTGGTTTCGAGGAGCTGCAGTTATCAGAAGAACAATTAAGAAACAATGACCGGGAGCAAGATGAAGAGGTATGCCGTGATTTTAACTGAATTTGGGATTTGCACTTTTCCTCTGTTTTTGTTTGTGGATGGAAGTATGACGCCGAACTTTGGATTCTTCATATTTTGAGGATCAGTATACTTTGTTCATTCTTGTTGATTTCAGTTTATTCTTTTTATTACTATTACACCCAATTTTGCTTTCTAATCTTTTTGTGGACTGAGCAAACTCGGCCATGGCCAAGCCGAATTACTCGGTGGACTAGTCTAAGTCCTGCACCACACCTACATAGGCTTAAAATCCAAAATAAAAATGTAAAGGATTATTTAAAATAATTAAAAATTGCAAAAACTAAACGAGATTGTGATGTTCTATACTGTCCATTTTATTTTGGACGTTCTGGATTTGATATTAACTTAAGAAACGTGTCACTTTTTTATATTGTCTTAAAAAATATGCGAAATCTATATATAATACAATATAATTATAATCATGGCAATGGTTATTATTTATTCATTTATAAGTTTATAGTTATTTATAATTAACTTGATATAATTATAATATGTGTTTTAAAAAAAATTTATTGTATTTATAGTATTATAATTCATATCATTTCAGTGTTATAATTTTATAATACACCTAATTAAAATTAGGTAATTAGATTTATCTATTAATTATTAATTTAAATAATATTGAATTATATTACATATCATTAAATTTTTTTGCATTTTTTAAATATCACATAAACAATTGCTCATGTCACAAGCATATGTCTAATATTCAATCGCATAGTATAAAATGAAAGACAGTCATATTTTCTCATTCAATATGTTATTTATTATAATATTTCTATCAATATTGCATTATTTATATTTCAAAAAATAATAATAATTAAAAAAATATAATGAGAAAAACTCACAAATCATCAGAGAAAACTTAAAAATATACAGAACATATTTCTAAATCATACTAGTGATTTTGTAACAAAATTTGTGAATTTTGCAAGTGATCTTTAGAAGGGCGAGTTGTACACGTAAACTCGGCTGGGCAGAGGGCCTAGGCCAAGTTACTCAGTCGAGTCCGAGCTGACTTGTCCAAGTCCTTGAACACTATGAGGGATTGCACCAAATATTCTTTCAATTGGGAGTGTTTTATATGTCAGCGGTGGGAGTCAAACTAGGCATGTAAGGTTGAAATAGTCATCACAGTAACCAATCATGCCAATGCCTGACTCCTAGATTGCACCCAAACTATGCATTAGCTGGGATCTTATGCTTTTAAGTTGCAACTCCCTATGTTCTATGTTTCTTCTTCTTATTCTTTCTATGTTCTATGTTTTAACTTTTAACCTCTGATGGATTCTTCAGCTGAAATGTGATCTACTTGAGTGCTCTTTATTATTGGTTCCACATTGTTCCCTGATCTACTACATATTCTGGTTTCTTCAACTTGCAAGTTACGAGACATTTTTGGCCTTCTATGTCGTCGTTAATCTTGGAATGTGCGGGTGATATGCCTAGAACTTTATGAATGTTAACTTTTATTTCACTAGAAGAATCTTGATATCAATTGATCTTGAGCCATAAATGATGACTCTTTGTGATACAAATGCGGGTGATTGCTAGGAAGCATCGTTTTTTGTTTCGATGAATTAACTTGCAACGTATCTTTGTCAACTTAATTTGCCAGGGAGCAGTATTTGAACTTTATGCTTCATTTACCTTGGGTAGTACAGCATCCATTTTAGGTAGCACATTATGAAATAGAAGGTTTCATGAGGTCCTTTCTTTCTTATTGTAGAAGTTGCGTTAGAAGCAGCCTATTCCTTTGACCATCACCACAATTATCACCAAGTGGCAAATTAATCTGTTGTAAGTTCTTCTCAAGTGCAACCCTAAATATTTTCAAGAGGTTTTATTGGCTCAGAAAACTAAGTTCACTCGTTGATGCCCTGCTATTATGGGTGCTGTCTCAGATTGTAGACCGAAACCATGTGGTAGTCTTTTGGCTTCCTTTAGATCTTATAAAGGTGGTCTACCTGGACTTACCATCCATTGGTTACTGATGTGGTCGGTTACTAATATGATAATAGCTGCTACATGGTGATTGCAAATTTGATTGTGGGATCAACGGAAAGTGATTTTGTTAATTGAAATGCTATGTCACCCCTTTGAATTGCGGTCTTCTTTTTTACCAAAAACAGATAGCTGAATATCTTCTGCTGATCTTTTAATTATAAAATTACAATCCAAATACCGATTGGGTTCTCTGCATTTCATTATTTAGTTTACAATATGTGTTGTCATTGTTTGACTTCTAATGATGGGCCCACTTTGTTCTTCAAATTGTTGTCAACTGTGAAGGAGAAAAAATTCTCAAGGATGGCATTTAGCATCTCAAACAGTACAAGCGTATATCTGCTACTAGCCTTATAACTAATTTCTGGTTGCCATCACTTTTTCTGCAGTTATTGGCCTTAAAGGCAATCTACGGGGAGGACGTTTCTGTCTTTCATATGGATGGAGAAATGCGTGCACTTCAGGTCTCTCCAAACCCAAGGAAACTTTAGATATGTGTATTTCAGAGAAACACACTTGTATAAAAAGGAATTCACAAACTTGTGGGTTTTGCAGATTCAAATTTGCCTTGAAGCATCTGATGACCTCTCCCTCTCTGCGAAACTCCATTCAACTACTGAGGGATATCAGCTTAGAGAGAATGCCACCACAAGTGACACTAATAGTTTGAACATCCTCAAAGTTCAGCATCTCCCCCCAGTTGTTTTAACTTGCTTATTGCCTCAAACGTATCCAAGCCATCGTCCTCCTCATTTCGCTATATATGTTCAATGGTTGGATTCTTCAAGGATTTATGATCTCTGTTGCATGCTAGACTCTATATGGGGAGACCAACCTGGGCAAGTGGTGGTATATCAATGGGCTGAGTGGCTTCATGTGTCTTCTCTCCCCCATTTGGGTTTTGATAGAGAGGTCACATTAGGTCCATATCCCATGTTGAATGCTGGAGATGGGCGTGCCATTTCAGGGTGCACCTCACCAGAGGGTGATATTTCCTTATTGATGAGTTTCAATCGTGAAAAATTTTGTAAATCATTGCATACTTGTGCCATCTGTTTTGGCGATTATGTAGGTAAGTATCTTCTTTTTTTTTACATATTTTTTATCATCTAATCTTGAAGTTTGAGAGCAGTATGTCACTCGGTGAGAATGCTTCAACTGTAACCAATAAAGAAAAACTATTATAACATAATGCATTGGAACGTGGCAAGTTTTAAAATAAGGGTGATGTGCCGCATATGCAGGCGCATCACATTTTCCTGCATATGCAGAATGGAGCGCATATTATGCAGCCGCATTTTAAAACAATGTGTACCATCTTTAGAATGAGAAGGGTAAGATCCCAAAAAGTACATACCAGGAATAAAAAGAAACCACGTCATAAGATAAGAGTATGCCAAAAACAAAAAAGCTAGAACAACCTCATCCATGCACACTATGGGTATCAACAGTTCATTACACACTGACCAGTGCTGCATGCTCATTTATGGAGAAGTTGTTTGTGAGTCAGCGAGTGCAAGAGCCTGCTGACTCACCAACGTCCATCTTTAAGATGGACGTTGTAAAAAATTCATGGCGCTTATTCGGTGTAAATTTTTCTCAAAAAATTCACATTTTAGATGTAAAAAATTTTATTTTTTTTCATATTTATCATCATCTTAACCTAAATCATGAGTCCTTAAAATTTTGGATTAAAAATCCATCTTTAAGGTGGTTTTAGAGGGGGCCGGCATATGTACAGTATGAGTTGGCTGACGCATAGAAACCTCATCCTTTAGTGAATAGTGAGTAGAGAGTTGTGAGTACTGAGCAAAGAAAAGAAAGACCATATTCCTAAAAATTGGATTGTCCTTTGCAAATAGCCAGTCTGTGTACTTAGTTGATATGCCACACATGCTTGATGCAAATATTATCCCATGTAACTTCCATAACCCAATTGCATAAGAATGCAATGCATCTCTGTCGACATGTGGTCCTGAGGAAGTCAATTTTGCAATGTAGTAAAAGTTCCACCATTTGAAAATACTCTTGTGGATTTGAGTTGTAAGGCTATGCATGTGTATTTCCATTCAAAATGTTATTACTATTCACCGCTAGTCCTATCAGAGATTCACATTTTTTGTTGCTTTGTTTCTATGAGAATCTGGGTTTCTTTCACTTCTTATCAGGTACAGAGTTCATCAGATTACCTTGCCAACACTTCTTCTGCCACAAATGTATGAAAATATACTCAAACATGCATGTGAAAGAAGGGGAAGTGAGCAAGTTAATCTGCCCTGATGCAAAATGCGGAAGTCTTCTCCCTCCTGGACTATTGAATCTCTTGTTGAGTGAGGAGGCATTCAAAAGATGGGAGTCCTTGTTGCTACAAAAGACTTTAGACACTATGCCTGATGTAGAGTATTGCCCGAGATGCGGAACTGCTTGCTTAAAAGATGAGGACAACCATGTCCAATGTGCGATGTCCTTCTTCCGCTTTTGCAGTCTTTGTTGGAAGCGACGTCACATAGGAACATCATGCATGGATTACAAGACCAGTATTTTGAAGGTATGCCATTCGAGATTGGCCTCAGATTTATCCATCTTTTTTTATACTTTTATTTTGGTTTCATCCTTTTGGTTCTAATCTTATTCTAGGTGGTTTGATATATGGAGATTTTGCTTCACTATCATGCTATTCAACAAACTACGATAATGTGCGTTCTTTGAGAAATTCTTTGATTGAAACTGGATTCGCCAATATATTCAAAAGCTATGTCTGAAAATGACCACAATAAATGGATACGAAAGTAATCCTTTCTGCTAATAATTTTCTATTGAGTTAAATACATTACTTCAATTCTAAAAGAAAAAGAAAATGAAAAATAGATATCCTACACAATCTGGAGTTTCTTGATAATCTTATTCCATTTGTTTCCTGATTAATAACCTAGAATATTTTTAGTTTTGACTTATGAAAGCTGTTATGTTTCTTTGTTGCTCAGCATAGACTCACAAGAATTGGATATGTTGCAATTTACCGATTCCGGTTTTTCTTTGTTGTAATTTTATTTTACCTTTTGGTACTTCTCCTCTCATAAACAATTTTGTTTTTGTGAAGGTTGAATCGTGTACATGTTTATGCGTGTCTACGTGTGGACAACTTGTTTACACGTGAATCTTGTAGAGAAATACAATATCCGTCCCATTTCGTGTTTAAACTCCATTGATCATAGGTAGAAAAAGGGGTTCCATCAAGTTATGGACCACAGAAGGAAGATGACATTACAGTACCTTCTTTGGTGGTCCACTAGCATGCCGGCAAAAAATCGCTTAGAATAAAAAAAGAAGATAATTTTGGAAAAAATAGGAAAAACAAGGGGAATTTTGGAAAATTCCTTAGAAATAAAACAATAAGAAAATAAAGAAATAGAATAAAATATAAAAAATGAAGAAAAAAAAGGAAAGGAAGAAAAGATGTGGGCTTACTTGTAAACGAAGCCGGGCCCATAGGCCTAGCACCTGAAATTGGCAACCGGAGTCAGAAGTGTCGTTGCGTGGAGACCGTTCCTATTGTTGATTTAGAGAGATGAGCCAGAGATGCTCTTGAGTCAGCGAGGGTTTTCAAGGCGATATGGACCACTGTGGACGCCTAGAGCTAGCGTTTTGTTGAACCTATAATTCTTAAGGTTTTGAGGGTGTGAATGTAATGAGGGATTGGCATAGGTAGACTAGGTTTTCCCTCTCTCTTCCAAGTTCAAGGTGATTGGTCTTTTTAATGGGTTCTCCCTTTCTCACATCCCAAAAGGGAATAGGTGGTAAAGAAGGGGGATTGTACACTATGAGACCATTTTTGGTACAAGGAAGTTACAATTACTTTTAAACATTGGATGTGAAATCTAATAAGATGAAACTATATGACAACATTCGAGAAATTTTATTTTGGACTTTGTGCCCAACCAATGTACATTCTCAATCACCCGATTTCAAATCTAATGGTCAATGATGATTGTAAGCTCCTTATATCAAAAGTAAATAGTCTCATTGTATGCATTTCCAAAGAAGGGAAGAGGGGTAAAGTGAGGTTTAAAGAGGTAAATGAGGTTTTTAAGTTGGGGTAAAATGAGGCCTAAAAATGGGGGTTTCCTAGGGGTTATGTTGTGCTAATGACCCACTTAGATAAACTAAATTTTGATTTTTATAAATTGTGGGTCAAATAGGGTTTATGGCTAGTCAAAAGTAATTAGGGTCTAATCAAGTTAGGGACTCCTAATCTAGGGCTTACGTAGTTTTGGAAGGTTTTATGATGGGCTTAAGGGTAGTTTGTCTTAATTAGGTAGGTTTTAAAGGGGCTTAGCCTAAATAGGTAATTCTAGGGTTTCCTATGTTTAAGGTTTGTTAAGGAGGGCTTAGGCTTTAATTAACTAGGAGTCTAATTAATGATGGGGCCTAATGGGGTGTTTGGTGTATGGGAGTAGGGTGTACTTGGGTGTACAAGTGCAGTATGGTCCCTAGTGTAGTTTAAGTTCAAAATAGGGTGTTTGGATGGTGCAGAAACTAGGATTTGTTTGGAATATGTCTTGGAAAATTCGAGGCCAAATTCCTATGGTTTTTAGAGTTTTGGGCAGCCAAAAAAATAGGATGTCTGCAGTTGCCCCTCTCTATCGCTTGTGTCGCACATTTCGGGCTAGTTAAGCTGCAAAGAAGTAGAAACCTAACCCGTAGAGTTAGAGAAGTACAGAGTTGAACAAAAGGATTTTTGAAGCAAAGTAGTGACTTGGACATCTAATAGCAGTCGGTCAGTGGTTCTTATGGTCTCTAGGACATGGAGATGAGCTTAGCCCAGTCTTATGGGCAAGCATTAAGAGCTCCATTTGTTGGCCAGCTTAGATCATGATGTCAGATTCCAAGGAAAACAAAATTCTCAGTAGTTTGAAATGTGATTTGAAAGTGGTTTTAGAAGAGAAAACGAAGAATTTCTCCGACTAAGTAAATACGCCTTCTACCCTTGATGGTCCTAAAGTCCAGGCTATAGGTTGGTGTGGTTGGAAGGCCAATGTTTAAGGCTAGAAGTGTTGGATGTTTGGGTGAGAGGTTTAGGTGAGGTGTGGTTTGGCCTCTTTCTCCTCTCACTTCTGCTCGACTGCTCCTCTTTTGGACTAAGGGTTCATCCTTTTATGTGGGACCCGACATATTCATCATTATGGGCGGCTGCTCCAACTCCTTCATTTTTTAGGGGGAGGTGCTTTGGAAGCAAAGGCTGTCGGGTTACGATTTTAACAAACAATTAAAGTTTTCGAAAGCACAAGACAGAGTTTGAAAAAAAATTCAAATCGGGATCGTCCTTAAGATGGAGTTGAAAACTTGAAAATAAAAGGTAAAATTTTTTTTAAGAGGCGAAGATCTTTTGAAAAAAAGTTGGTTAGCGGTTTTTCTCTTGCAACCATAGATTGTGAGCTTTATAGTTTTTCCACCTACGGCCTTTTGATGGAGATGAAAGAAAAAACTTTAGGAATGTATATATATACCCGACCCCAATAAATTGGGAAAAGGATATGATGGATGGACAATGTATAATTAACCTTTTCCCAATTAATTGGGGTCGACTACATGAATCCTGGTTCTCCATTCTACTTTATTAAAGGCCATATCCTCAAATGACATCATAAATCCTCATATCTTTTCAAACTACTTCCAACCACATCCTTTTGGGCCTACCCCTTGGCATTTTTAGTCTTTCCACTTGAATTAACTTGCACCTCCTAACAGGAGTTATACTTGGTCGGCACCACATATGGCCAATCCACCTAAGTCTATACTTTCTCATTTAATCGCCTATTGGTGCCACGCCTAAATTCTCTCGAATAGATTCATTTCGAATTCTATCCCGTCTTGTCTTTTCACTCATCCATCTCAACATCCTCATCTCTGCTACACTAATTCTATGGATATATTGTTTTTTGTCGACCCAACATTCTGCACAATAGAACAAAGCTGGTCGCACCACTATCCTATAGAACTTGCTCTTTAGCCTCATTGATCTGCGGCGATCACATAAAATTCTAGTTTCACATCTCCACTTCGCCCACCCAGCTCTAATTCTATGTGCAATATCTTCCTCTTTACTCTCCATTTTCCTGGATTATCAACCCAAGATATCGAAAGTGCGGTCTTTTTGTACTTCTTGGCCATCAATCTTGACTACTTCCTCGTCTCTACTCTATTATTACTAAACATGCACTTCATATACTCTTAGTCCAACTAATTTTAAAACCTTTGGATTCTAGACAATCCCTTCAAAGTTCTAACTTTGTGTTGATGCCATTTTAGGTCTCATCAATCAACAAATGAAAACGATGTCATCTGCGAACAACATGCACCATAGTACCTCATCTTGTAGGTGCCTATCTAAGTAACTGAGACAAAGAGGTACGAACTCAATGTTAACCTTTGATGTAGACCTATTATCACTGAAAACTCACTTGTCTCTCTACTAGTTGTTCGTAGTACACTAGTTAGCGCTCCATCGTACATATCTCTCACCAAGTCGATGTAATGTCTAGAGACACCTTTCTTTTCCAACACCTGCCAAATCAAATCTTGAGGTACTCTATCATAAGCTTTCTCTAGATCAATAAAGACCGTGTAGAGGTCTTTTTCCTTCGTTCTAAACTTCTCAATCAGTTGCCTAAGTAGGAAAATAGCCTCAGTTGTTGACCTTCCTGACATAAAACCAAATTGGTTTTCAGATACACTTGTTTCATGCTTTAGTCGTTGCTCAATGACTCTCTCCTAGAGCTTCATAGTATGGCTCATAAGCTTGATCCCTCGATAGTTTGCACAATTTTGTATGTCTCCTTT